CCGGGAGCGTCCCCGAGCCGCGGGCCGCCGCGGACGCATGACCGAGGCCATAGGCCGCCGAGGCTCGCCCAGGGCTCGCAAGGCCGCGCGCTCCCAGTCTGAGACCAGCCTTTTAGGCCGCGCCGCCGCGGTTCCTCCAGGTCCCCCCAAATACCCCACAGCTGAACGAGAAGAGCCTCGGCCGCCGCGGCCTCGCCGTGGTCCGGCACCCACGCTCGCGGCTCAGGCTGCAGGGTCCTGCCGCCGCTGGCGCTCCACGGCCGAGATCGACGCCGCCGATGGGCGCCGAGGCCGTCCCCGCGGCCCCGCCGCCCGAGCCCCGGCCCCTGGCCCATCCCCGTCAGCTCCTCAGCGCCGTCTGCTCTACGGCTGCGCAGGCAGCGACTCGGAGTGCTCGGCTGGGCGTCTGGGGCCCCTCGGACGCCGGGGGCCGACAGGCGGCGTCGGAGGCGGCTACGGGGAGAGTGAATCGAGCGCCAGTGAGGCGGAGTCTCCTGCTTTCAGCTCCGCATCCAGCGACTCTGATGGCAGCGGTGGCCTCGTGTGGCCGCAGCAGCTAGTGGCAGCCACCGCGGCCTCTGGGCCAGCGGCTGGTGCAGGTGGAGGGGCGCCCGCGGGTCCTGCCAAAGTCTTTGTGAAGATCAAGGCTTCCCATGCGCTCAAGAAAAAGATACTGCGTTTCCGTTCGGGTTCTCTCAAGGTCATGACTACAGTGTGAGTTTAGAGATTTGCTTGGGCTCCTCCTTCATGGCCTCTGCACCACCACACCCTCAATCACTGTCCCTTCTACACCTCCCTTTTCCAAAGACCACCATTTTCTCTACTTCCAAAGACCCTTTCTCACTGCCCAATCTACTGCAGTCTTAGTTAAAAAGGCTCCCCCTCCACCACAGGGAGGAATGGGGGAGGAGCCCTGTTTGACCCAGTTCAGCTGCTGGGTGTGCAGCTCTTGGGCAAGAAAGCTCCCTCTCTGTGGGCCTCACTTTCTTCATCTGTACTGTGGGTGTACTATGGTATGCAGAAGGGATAATTCAGTTTGAATTTCCCCATTTTTGTTTTTTTAGACACTTAGTCTGTTTTTTCCCCTTCATTTCTCTCACTGAGCCCTCTTATTCCTCCTTTCCTTGCGCAGATATGGCCCCCCTCCTCATTCACAAAGTGCCCCCTTCCATGTCCCTGGACCCTTAGGAAATCCCCTTGGCACCGCAGTAGAAGACTCTGTCTGACCCAGATGGTGCCTGCGGAGTGCCCTGGGAAGGGAAGGAGCACTGACTTTGGGGTTCTGAGGGTCAAGTAGGAGTTGGTAACACCTAGAAAGACTCTTTCACCTCCGTCCCTGGACAATTATGGATGATTGGGAGGTAGAAGAGGGGCAGTAAGATGGCTTCTATCTCGTGGCACCCACTGTGAGAGGGAGTAGGGGGAGCCCAGGATGACCCTCGGCTGTTCCAGTTAAGTATTTTTTCTTTTTTTAAAATTACTGTATTTATTATGACGATGGTGACTCCCCAGTGCACAGGGGGGCCAGAATCTGTGTGTTTCTCTAGCCTCTTTGTAAATAAATGCACAGTGTTACATATGTGGTGGACTCTCCTTCTGTACTCAAATGGGCTTTTCCTTGGGACTAATATTTATTGAGCAACTACTGTTTGCTTTGGATATGGTAGTGTCCAGAACCAGATGGCGGATCCCAGGGTGGGTCTCAGTAGCATTTCTTACCATGTGTTTGCATACATATATTAATCTTAGTAACTATATAAATATATAGAACTATATATATGCATATGCATATAGTTACACTCTGTATATGTGAAACTATATATTTACATAATTTGAACTATATGTACATGTTGTTTTTTAGTTTCTGTTGTTGGTATCTGTGCCTGGAGATTTCTTTATGGAAAGAATTTTCATTAAGAATTGACTTTTTTTGAGGGTTTACTACTATTTAGCTTTTCTATTTCTTCTTATGTCCATTTTACTAAGTCGAATTCTTTGAGGACTTTGTTCATTTCATCTAAATTTAGATGATATATTTTCCTATCACTGTAGTAGCTGTGTAAGATTCCATGGGATGGGGGAGACCCATGATCTAACCCTACTGTCAGCTCTTCAATTCCTTTGCTATTTCAGACCTTACTGCAGTTATGTCCTTGTATATGCCTCTTTGTGCACGTATATATTTCTATAGGATCCTCTCCTAGAAATAGAATGGCTTGGTCATTATAATACGATCATTAAAAAAATTTTTTAATTGATACAGTCACACTTCCTTCCACTAAGACTACCCTCAGCTGACATTTCCAACAGCAATTTCTGAGATGCCCATTTTTCCACCCCTTCACCAAACAACAGATGCTATGAATCATTTTCATTTTGCCAATCTAGGGGGGAAAACAATGTTCTGTTTTAATTAGCATGTCTCTCTCCCTATTTTCTTGTGGTGACACAACATTTTGGATGCTTATTGGCCCACTTGTAATTGCCTGTTCACACCTTTTGCCCATTTTTCTGTTGGGGAAGCCCAATCATTATACTAACTTCATAGTTGGGTAAATAGAGACTCAGAGAAGGACTACTGTTTGCCCTGGTCACACAGCAAGAGGAAGCCCATACTAGGACCCAACCCCCACCTAACTCTAAAATCTGAAGAATGGGTATTTGTTACTGCTGCTTTGACCTGTGTGTCTACATGAGTGGGTCCACCTCTCTGTCCCTTTGAGCTCTGAGGGAGCAGGGACCAGTTCTGCTGTACTCATCTGTGTCTCTAGTGCCCACTAAGGCACTGGGGTTACAGTAAGGAACAAAACAGAAAAAAAAGCCCCTGCTCTGTGGAGCTCCCATTCTGGTAGATGTGGGTGGTGGTGTGTGTGAATAAACATACATTTTCCTTTAGAGTAACAATAAACAGAAGTTATGTTAAAAAAGACTGCTTGGGTGACATCTGAACAGAGACTTGGAGGAGGTGGGAGAGTGAAGCTTGTGGATATCATGGGGGAGAACACCCCAGGTAGAGAGGTCAGCTAGTGCAAATGCCCTGAGGCCTAAATGGTGCCTGATGTGTTGGCAAAATAGCTAGAAGCCAGCATATCTGGAGCAGTGAGTGAGGGGGAGATGGGGGCAGAGGGCCGTTGGGACCCCTACATTACATGGGGCCTCGTGAGCCATGATGAGGAATTTCATTTTTACTCCTAGAGAGGTGTTTTTATTTCTAGGGAGAATTCTGAGCAGAAAAAGGACTTAGGTGTTTTGGGAGGATGAGGGGGTTAACAGCTCTATTGAAATATAATTCCCTACCATAAAATTCACCCAAACAAAACATACAGTTCAATGACTTTTGTTTCAAAAAAATATTTTTCCTTGTGATGAGAACTTTTAAGATTTACTCTCTTAGCAGCTTTCAAATGTGCAATGCAGTAGTGACAACTATAGTCACCATGTTGTACATTACACCCTATGCCTTATTTTATAACTGGAAATTTGCTTTTGACCCCGTCACCCATTTTGCCCATCCCCCCAAACCCCCTGGCAACCATCAATCTGTTCTCTGCATCTATGACTTCAATTTTGGTTTTGTTTTTAGATTCTACATATAAGTGAGACCGTACAATATTTGTCTTTCTGTGTCTGACTTAGTTCACTTGTCCATCCATGTTGTTGCAAGGCAAGATTTCCTTCTTCTTTACAGCTGAATAATATTCCATTATATTTAAATTTTCTTTATTCACCATCGATGGGTACTTAAGTTGCTTCTGTATCTTGGCTATTGTATATAATGCTTCAATGAACATCAGGTTATATATATCCTTTCAAATTAGTGTTTTCATTCTCTTCAGATAAATGCTCAGTAGTGGAATTGCTGGATCTTAGGGTAGTTCTATTTTTAATTTTTTGAGGAAACTCCTTACTGTTTTCCATAATGGCTGCACCAATTTACATTCCTACCAATAGTGCATGAGGGTTCCTTTTTCTCCACATCCTTGCAAACACTTGTTATGTCCTGTCTTTTTGATAATAGCCATTCTAACAGGGGTGAGGTGATAATTCACTGTTGTTTTGGTTTTCATTTTCCTGGTGATTAGTGATGTTGAGCACCTTTTCACGTACCTATTGGCCATCTGTATGTCTTCTTTGAAAAAATGTCTATTTAGATCCTCTGCCCATTTTTTTATCAGTTTTTTTTTTGCTATGGTGCTCTTTATATATTTGGGATATTAATTTCTTATCCTGTATATGGCTGGCAAATATTTTCTCCCATTCTGTATGTTGCCCTTTAATTTTGTTGATGGTTTACTTTGTTGTGCAGAAGCTTTTAATTTGGTGTAGTCCCACTTGTTTATTACCGCTTTTGTTGCCTTTGCTTTTAGTGTCAAATCCAAAAAATCATCTCCAAGACCCATGTCAAGGAGCTTACCACCTATGTTTTCTTCTGGGATTTTTATGGTTTCAGGTCTTAGGTTCAAGTATTTAAACCATTTTGAGTTAATTTTTGTGAATGGTGTGAGATAGAGATCCAGTTTCATTCTTTTGTGTGTCGCTGTCCAGTTTTCCAAACACCATTTTATTTTTTTATTTTTTTTAAATCAAGCTCTGATGTATTTTATTAAAGAAAAACTGTGCACAATTTACTTTTCACCAGTCTGTTCTGGCATGCTCCTAATAATATCAGAATCACCTGGATCAATGATAGCCAGTGTGCATACTCTGTAGTATTTTCCACAGGCTGTGCCCAGTTCAATATTATTTCCACTGTAGTGATGGACACCAGTTTTGGCCAACATGGCGTAATACTCCATTTCAGATTTCCTTAAAGCCGGGCAGTTGTTGGCGAGGATGACCAGTTTCGCTTTGCCTTGTCTGATCATTTTCAGAGTCTGCTTGTACCCCAGCACGTACTTTCCACTTTTCACAACAAGTTGGAGTCTAGAGTTGATGGACTCCAGCGACTTTTTCGTCTTTTTTGCGGCCACCATCTTCCTGCCTTAGGTGTGGGACGAGTCCCAACCAAGAGCAGCCGCCAAGATGGCCGGGGAACAAGAAAGCCCAAACACCATTTATTGAAGAGACTATCTTTCCTCTATTGTATATTCATAGCTCCTTTGTTGTGAATTAATTGACCACACATGTGTAGGTTTACGTTGTGTTCTCTATTCTGTTCCATTGATCTGTGCCTGTTTTTGCACCTGTACCATACTGTTTTAATTACTGTAGCTTTGTAATGTATGTAATATTCAGGGTCTTTTGTGGTTCCATACAAATTTTAGGACTGTTTGTTCTCCTTCTGTGAAAAATGCCTTTGCAATTTTAATAGGAATTGCACTGAATCTGTAGATTTCTTTGGATAGTATGGACATTTAAACAATTATTAATTCTACTAATTTATGAACATAGGATGTTTTTCCATTTATTTATGTCTTCTTCAATGTCTTTTATTGGGGGGGTAATTAGGTTGTACTTATTTATTTAAAGGAGGTGCTGAGGATCGAACCAAGGACCTCGTACTTGCTAGGCATGCACTCTACCACTGAGCTATACCCTCCCACCCATCAGTGTATTATCAATGTGACTATACTATCACTACAGTAAATTTCAGAACGTTTCTATCACTCCAAGTAGAAACTCTGCACCCCTTACCTGTCATCTTCCAGCCTCCTCAACTCCTGGCAACCACTAATCTACTTTTGTCTCTATAAGTTGCCTGTTCTGGACATATAAGTGAAATCATGCAGTATGTGGTCTTTTGTAACTGCTTCTTTCACTTAACATGTTTTCAAAGTTCATCCATGTTGTAGCTTGGGTCAGCACTTGATTTCTTTTTACTGCCAAATGCTATTCCACTGTTTGGATAGACCACATTAAGTTTATCCATTCATCAGCTGATGGACAATTGGGTTGTTTCCACTTTGGTGCTATTGCGAATAATGCTGCTGCTGTGAAAATTCACTTACAAGGTTTTGTGTGAACATTTGTTGTTGTTGTTGTTGTTGTTGTTGTTGTTGTTTTCCTCTTAGGTAGATACTTAAGAGTGGAATTGCTGGGTCATCTGGTAACTCAGTTTAATCTTTTGAGGAGCTACCAGACTGTTTTCTAAAGTGGCAGCACCATTTAACACTTCCATCAGCAGTGTATGAGGGTTCCGGTTTCTCCACCTTCTCGCTAACACTTACTATTATTACCCTGGGACTTTGTTTTAAACAATCTCCCTCTGGCTGTTCTGTGGGGAATAGGCTGAGGGAGACAGAGGTAGAAGCTGGAAACCCAGTGAGAAACGACTGTAATAGTCCGAGCTGGAGAGCATGATGCCTGGACCAGAGTGGGGGCGCAGGGGAAGTGAGAAGTGGCTGGATTGTGGACAGACTCTGAAGATGGAGTAAATGGGATTTGTTGCTAGATCAATTGTGGGGTATGAGAAAGGTAGAAGGAGGCAAGATTGACCCCAAAGATTTACTATCAACTGAGATGGAGTGGTAAGGAGACTCCGGTAGGAGTGGGTTTGGTGGGTGCAATCAGGGGCTCAGTTTTGGACCACTGACTTTGAGATACGCCAGACATTGATGTGGAAATGTCCAGTAGAGATTGGGTATTCCGTTCTAGAATTATTGTTGGCGCTCATTGGACGTTTCTTGAATAATTAAAGTCAGAACTGAATCAATGGGGACCATCACCATGAGGCTAGTGGATTCCTGCGCAGCACAGGGCAGGATTGAACATCCGGAGACTAAGGTTATGCTAGGGTAGAAAGACGGCTGAGATCCGCAACTCAGAAGAGAAATGGAGGTTACTCTGGGTGCAAGCAGTGTCCGCCTGTCCATCTCCCCCGCCCCCAGACTCTGGCAGCCGTCAGAGAGGGAGGGGCGATTGGGTCGTCACCCTGTCTTCCCCTGCTCTAAGCTGTGTTTCCTCCTTGGGGGCTGCCTGCGCCAAAACTGCTGATGGAAACCAGCTGCGGGAGGCGCCGAGGTTCGGCGTACGCCCAGGCCCCTCCCCGGCGCCGGCCGACCCCGCTAAGGGAGGGGGACGGGGGCGCCCTAGCTCCCCTCTGCTCTTCCGCAGCCGGGCCCCGGGCCCTGGCACGTCCGGCGCTCCTGATGCTTTCCAGATGTGAGCCTGGTTTCCCTCCCCCACCTGGCCCAGTGGTTCCCGCCGGATAGGGGGAAGGGGAGCCAGGGTCCGATATGCCCCATCAAATCGCGACCAGGGACCCAGGCCGGTGTCTTGTTTCCCTGTCCAGGCGGTAAAAACCGAATTGGGATGGGCTGACTGCGGTAGAGATGCTCCTCTCTCCACCTCGTCTTCTTCCCAGGGCTCGGGCTCCGCCCCTCCCGCAGCCCTCTCATGTGGCGAGGTTCTGAGAGTCCCAAGACCCGCCCCTCACGGCAAGCCCTGCCCATGCCACGCCCCTAGCAACCCGCCCGACACGCCCCCCTAAGCTCCGCCCCGAGCCACCACGCCCCTTTGGCCGCCCCGAGCTCACGCCCCTGGGACCCGCCTCTGCGGGACCCGCCTCCGCCGTCGGGTCCCCGGCAGAGGGCGCGGTCTGCGGTGTCTGTCTCTCCACCCGGCTCTGTGTCTCTGAGTGTTTGTGTTTCTCGTTCCCTCTCTCTGACTCTGTACTTTTCTGTCTGTGTGTCTCTCCTGTACCTACATGTCATTATGTCCCTGTCTCTCTCTGCAACCGTCTGCCTGTTTCGGCCTCTTTTAGTCCCTAGGTCGCTATCTCTCCAAATTGCCGCCTGTGTCCCTATCTCTCTCTCTGCCTCGCTCAGTCTCTCCCTGAGTCTCCCTCCTCGTGTCTCTGATTTTTGTGTCCCATTTCATCTTCCGTGTCTTTCCCTAGTCTGCATCCCCACCACGGGGGAGCCTTGCCCTCCTGTTTTCCACCTCCTCCTACGACTTTGGAGCCGACTGGGTGGGCGGCTTGGCGGACCACGGGCACCCCCGTGTGGCCGGCAGAGGACTGTCAGGAGAGGACAGTGGGCTGAGTGTGTGCGTAGCTATTGCAGACACTGTGGGTGTCCATGGGTGACACTAGGAGATGGTGTGACGCCGAGACTCACTATGTGAGTGTGTACTACTGCGATATCGCGTGTGACGCCAAAGGTTGCGTGTGACTGTGTGACCTTGTGAGATTTTATGTGACAACCAGAAACTGGGTGCAACTGTGTGAAATGTAACACCAAGAGGTTGTGTATGACTGTGTATGTGAAATGACAGATGACCTGTAGGCGACTGCATGTGACACCGTGAGGTTGGGTGTGCCTGAGACACTATTTGGGGGACTGTTTGTGACATCGAGAGACTATGTGTGGGTGAGAGGTTGTGTTTGACAGTGTGTGACACGGCGAGACCAGGAGAGTTATGCGTGTCACATGGGCAGATGATGTGTGAGCGAGGGTGAGAATGAATGGGTGTGATCCACCAAGAAATGGCATGAGAAGGAGGTGTGAGAGGCCCGGGGCGGGGGGAGGACTGGGAGTGACAGAGTGACCGTGTGAGTGTGAGACAGGATATGTCCGTCACACTGATGATGGGTAAGAAGCTGAGTGTGTGTAATACAGATCACATGGGACATTGAGAGACTGACCCAAGGTCATGACAGTGCGTGAGAGTGTGCAACTGTCCAGAGCACCCGGAGTAAGTAAGTAGTGTGTAACACTGGAATGTTGTGGTGTGACGGTGACAGTGGTGGGTGATACAGATGATGTGAGCTCGGCAAGACACCATGAGATCTGTGTTCGACACTGTGCAGAACTGTGTTTGTACGCTTGACACTCAGAGACTGTCTGGTTGTGTGAGATGTCGTGGGTGATGATGGGCCACACTCGGAGAGACTGTGAGGGACTGTGTGGCATTTTGAGAGACCGTGTGACTCTGGTGCTGTGGGAGGTTGTGTGTTAAACACAGGTGGTTCAGAAAACAGTGTGGCAGCATAGGGTGACACAGCGAGATTTGGTGCTTCTCTGTGCAAGGGACTGTGAGGGTGAGTCTGTGTGCTGAGAGGGTCATTTGTGATGGGGTGACAGTGAGGCGGTGGGTGTGACAGGGTGGTAGGGCATGTCATGGAGTGAGAGACTGTGTGGGACACACAGAGATTTATGTCACTGTGGAATAAATACAGCAGAGCATGGGGCACATCTTTAGAGACTTTGAGTGTATGTGAGTATATGTGTGTGTGAGAGAGAGAGAGACAGAGATATAGACAGAGACAGAGATTGAGAGGGGAGACCGAGAGAGCTAGAGGAAAGGAGAGAGACACAGAGAACAGGAGTGACATAGACATAAGTAGAGAGACACAGAAACCGAAAGACAAAGGGGGACAGACAGACATGACGAGAGGACCTAGACAGACCTGAGGCAGTCAGGGTGATGGAGATGGTGGTGGCAGTGGCAGGAGGAGGCGGGTCCTCAGGGGCTGTGCCCCGGGAGAGGGAGCGGGGCGGGGCTGCGGGGGACCCAGACGCTGCCTCCCAGCCTCTGCCACTGGCCCGCCATCCCAGCCCTGAGCAGCAACAGGTAGGAGGCTCTGGTCCTGGCCCCAACAGGTCGACAGATCATCCCTCTGCCCCATCCTGTCACAGTCCGTCTGCCTGGGAATGAATGAATGAATGAGTGAGTGAGTGAGTGAGTGAGTGAATGAATGACTTTCTACTTCTGCATCTCCATCAGCCTGTCTCTCCCTCTGTCCTTCCATTTACCCCTCTCTGTCTCCCTTCATCACTCCATCTCTCCTGCCCCTCCACTTCCTTCTCTCTGTTCCTTCTGTCCTCTGTCCCTTTATCCCCTTTGTGCCTCCCTCTCCTCCTCTGTCACTGCCCCTCCCTCTGCCGCTCCCTTTTTCCTTCTGTCTATCCTCTCCCACCTCCATCACTCCATCCCTCCCCAACTCTTCCATCTTCCCTTCTCTATCCTCCCTCTGTCCCTTTGTCTCCTCTGTGCTTCTCTCCCCCTGAATCACTCTGTCCATTTCTTTACCCCTCTGTTTCCCTCTCTCTACCCCCTCCATCATGTCATCCCTTCCCCATCTCTCCATCTTTCTATCCTTCCTCAGTCTCTTTATTTCCCTCTGTGCCTGTCTCTCTGTCCCTTCGTCTTTTCCTCTGCCCCTCTGTTTGTCCCTCTCTCCATCCTCTGCCCTACTCCCAGTCATGGCTGGGTGGCCCCCTCTCCAGTGCTCTCTCCGGCTGTTAATGAGCGGAGGAGCCTTTGAGGTGGCCAGAGCTGGGGTGGGGGGCTCCCCGAGGGGGGCGGAGGGGGCAGCTGCTGCCAAGGCCCTAATGAGGCCCCCTCTGCGCCCCTCCCGCAGCGATCTTAATTCCTTGTTCTCCCTGGAGCCACCGCTAATTGGCCTTGGGAGGGGCCCCCTCCTGCCTCATGCTCTATCTCTGGGAGGTGAGGACACCTGGATCCCTGGATCCTGATCCAACACCTGTGGCCCTGTCCTTCTGTCCCTCCCTTCACCTGTCTCTCAGCTTCCCATCTGTGCTTTCCTCCTGCCTTCCCTCTCCTCTCTCTGTTCCTCCTCCTACCTGCCTCGAGGTACCCCATCTGTGCACCCCTCCATCCCTCCTCTTGCCCCTCTCCTCTCTGTTCATCTGCCTCTCTTTCAGCCGGCATTTTGGTTCCCCGTCTGTGCGAGTCTTCATCTCTCCCCTTTTCTTCTGTTTTCCTGTCCCTCCCTCCACCTGTTTCTGGGCACTCCATTCGTGGGCCCTTCTACGCACGCCCCTGTTACTGGGTCCCACCACCAACGCCACCTCTATCTAGGGAATCAGCTTTGCCCTAGCCTACCGCTCAGCCCTGACTCCCGCCAGCTTTTAACCCTTTCCCCGCAGCAGCCATGTCCAACAACATGGCCAAGATCGCGGAGGCCCGGAAGACGGTGGAACAGCTGAAGCTGGAGGTGAACATCGACCGCATGAAGGTGCTGGGTCGGCGTAGGGAGGAAGGCAGGGGCCCCGGGATTGGGATCTGGACTGGGCAGTGTTGGGAGTGCGGCCGGGAGCCGAGAGGTGATGAGGAGATCCCCTTAGATCCTCTTAGGAAACAGACTGGACTCGGAGAGCTGGGGTGCCTAGACAAGGGGGCGGAACCGAATAAGGGGTGGGGCGTGGCCAGGCTGGGTAACGGAAGGGGCCTGGACGAAGAGGCAGGGTCTGGTAATGGGCGGGGGCCCGACCCGGGGCGCGTCCGGGTAATGGAGGGGCAGGCAAGGGGCGGGGCGTGGACGTCACCCGATGCCCGCAGGTGTCGCAGGCTGCGGCCGAGCTCCTGGCCTTCTGCGAGACTCACGCCAAAGACGACCCGCTGGTGACGCCGGTACCCGCCGCAGAAAACCCTTTCCGTGACAAGCGCCTCTTCTGCGTCCTTCTCTGAGCCCTCCCGACAGTATACCCTCCCCTGCCAAAGTATGAACCCAATAAACGTGATGACTGTGGTGGTGCCTGTGCTTTCGGGGAAACTGAGATACGCGTGGAGCTTGGGGCCACCGTCTGGGAGCCTGTGTCCCTTCTCATGTCTTCTAAGTGTGTGTGGAGTGTCGGGGTGGGGTATTGGGTGTGTGAATGGGGATGGGGTACCCTGGATATGAGCACTCTGAGCTCTGGCCTCAAAAGAATGTTCCACGATCCTGAATTTATTTAATCGTCCCAACAGCCCCAGCTGGCTACTTGTATGACATGCATTTTACAGATGAGGAAACTGAGCCAAAGGAGGTCCCTTACTCAAAGTCACAAGCTAGGAGATAACGGGGTGAAGTCTGGACTCCGGCACCCCCTGAACCTCTAAGTTGGCATCCCTTCTCTCCTCCTGCCTGGTTTGGAGGTTCTTTGAATCCCCAGTGTCCACCTTTCTCATTCCCTGAATGATTCACCTCCCTTTTTTCACATCTGATCCTCCCTGCCACAGGCCCACCTCTGTCCTGAAGCATTGAACTTTTTCTCTGTTCTTATTCATTTTTCCAAACACTCCTGGCTCTGTGCTGGATGAAAGTGGGGACACAGCCACGACTGAGACAGCCCTGGCCCTAGGCTCCTGGGGCTCGGAATCCAGTGAGGGAAACAGACCTGTCCCCAGATAGTGATAATTCAGAGTGGGCAGGGCTGGGATGGGAGAGTTCAGAGAGAGTGCTTGACTCAGCTTGAGGGTCAGGAAGGGCTTCCTGGAGGGGGAGGACATCTGAGATGGGATGTGACATGGTGGTAATAAAACTTGGGGACCCAGAGAAGAAAGAAGTGTGGCTACAGGGAGGGAGAGGAGACAAATTAGTGTGTACATTCCTTCCTTCAACAATTATTTTCTTTGTTCTGGGGACATGGGTGACTGTGGCAGCCCTGCTTCCTGTCCTATTTTCCCACATCATACACAGGTGGTCTGCATGACATATAGCCTGCAGTTAAATAGGAGTACTTGACTACTTGACATAAAAATTCATGTTTCTGGCTTCTTCCAGATTGGAAGGTCTGGGTGACCTCAGACCTGTCCAACCCCGCAGGGTGACCAGAGCTGTGAGATGGGCCCCGGGCTTTCCAGCTTGCCAAAGTCCCCACCAAACCCTATTGTCACCTGGTTAAGGAGGCTGAGGATTAGTTGCTATTTATCACAGCTGTGCCAGGGGCTTCTTACAGTGGAATGAAGAGAAAGGTGAAATATCTTGAACCTGTGTCTCTGCTGAAAATAAAGAATGCAGACTGAGTGAATGCAGATTTGGTTAATTACTTTTCCTGGTTGGTCTGAGGGTCCACTGAGCTTACGACCCCTTCTCTCTCCTTGCTCCCTCTTGTCTTGGGCCTGCACCCCTGGATCTGTGTGGAAATGGCTCACTGGGCCTCCCCTCCCCAGAGCGGGGCTGTGCCTTTGTTCTGGCAAGTGCCCCATTATTTGCACTGGATTAGGGTCCCCTGGGCTCCAACTCTGAGCTTCCTGTTGAATTGAGGCAGGAGAAGCTGTAATTACATCTCCCTCCTGCCTCCCACCTCTCAGTTGGCTCCGGCCTGGTTGCATCATGTCTGTGGGAGCCCCTGGGGAGTTGGGGGACAGAGAGAGCCAAGGATGAGCTGTGGGGGGCAGGAGGAGGGATGCTGCAAGGGAAGTTGTCAGAAAGATTCCAGAATTTCAGAGATCCAGCATCCTTGCATCTTAGAACCCTGAAATACCAAGGAATCTAGAATCCCTGGACCTCAGAGGGCTGGGACTCTGCAGTCTGGAACCCCATGGGGCCAGGATGCTGGGGTCCTGCCCCATTGTCCAGCTAGGATTCTGGAGTCCAGAACTTCAGGAGTATAAGGTTTTCTTGAGCCTGGACTGTTGGGATTTAGACTCTTTCAGCCCTGGGATCTTAGAGCTGGTCTTGAGGAACGGAAGCTGGAGAGAAGCAAATGGGACTGGCCGGCCTGGTGGGTGACAAGGGGTGGGAGGAAATGTCTGCCTGGAGGAGGAAGGGGGCTGGGTGAGCGTGCACTCAGACTGAGGCTGGGAGGGAGCAGAAGCCAGAAGGGACAGAGCAGGTCCCTGGTGACCAGCCTCCAAACTGGCTTAATCTCATTAGCGGATATGACTCTGCAGCACCAGCTTCTGGTTACCCGCTGCTCTTTCCTGCCACCCCCAGCTGGGGTCAGACCCAGGCTGGAGTCAGCAGAGAGGTGGACCCCTGGGGAAATGCTTGCTCCCAGCAGTTCCCTCCCCCTTCACCCCAAACCCTAGGGCTGGGGGCTGCCCCCCCAGCTGTCTTCCCTCCACACCCCAGTGCTCAGGAGTTGGGTTTCACAAGTCCCATCTCTCTTAATTCTCATGGTAGCCCTTGAAAGGGCTCCACTTACCCCCATTTTCCAGACACAGAAAACTGGCACAAAGAGGTGATGTCACCTGGCCAGTTGGGGCTTGAGGTCAGAGTGGGAGGAGCCAAAGGATGACTATTCAGGAGGGGCTGGAGGTGTTGAAGGACAGAAATGAGGGTATCCTAGGTGAAGGGCATAGCCCAGGCAAAGGCAGGGCAGAGTTGACAGAGAAGGGACACCAGGAGCAGGCGAGGGAAGCTCACTTCCACCACTGGCTGTGTGACTCTAGGAAAATGACTTCCCCTATCGAAGCCCTGATGGTCTTCATCACATAGCTGCCTTGCCCTTGTTGGGATGCTGCATGAAGGCTAGAGACGGAATTCACCTTGCCTCCAGGAAGCCCTCAAATCGCTGTTGGGGTTGTTATTCGTTCAAGGAGCCCTCATCCACTCAAGGTGTGCAGAGGGCTGGGGGTGCAGAGGGGCTCAGAGGGCACCACCCAATGGCCAGAGCGAGGCAAGGGCCATTTTGGTGTGGAGAAAAGGGAGGTGGGCAGAGAAAACTGGCCTCCAGCTGCAGGGGGCTGGGACCTGTTAAGGAGGAATGGGTCAGGATGGATAAACAGCGGCTTTTCACAGCAGGGAGTGGGCACAGATGACAGGAAGGCCTGGCAGGCATGAGCAGCTGGTGGCGCATGTGTGGGATATGAGGTGGGGCCATCTTCCTCCCAAGGCAGGATCAGGACGGAAACCAGGGAGTCAGCAGAGGGTCAGGCCCAGGGCAGGCTGGCATCTTATGTCAGCAGCACATCCAGATGCAGGCCTGGGCTGGTGGTTGGAGGCACTGGCTGGCAGGCCATCCAGGTCCCATTTCCGGGCCTGCTTGGTACTTGCCCTCTTGAGGACACCCACGCAGATGGAATGACTCAGCAGAGGGCCTGCCCAGACTCCAGTTAGAACCTTCCACTCCCATCACAGGTCGCAGGCCACTTGGGACCATGCCCCACTGGATGGTGCCCTCCCAGCCCCTCTGCACCCCCAGCCCTCCAAACACCTTGAATGGATGAGGGCTCCTTGTTGGGGTTATTCAACAACCCCAACAGCAATTTGAGGGCTTCCTGGAGGCAGGCAGGGTCAATTTTATCTCTAACCTTCACATAACATCCCAACAAGGGCAAGGCAGTCACGTGATGAAGACTATCAGGGCTTTGACAGGGGAAGTCATTTTCCCAGCGTCACACGGCCAGTGGCTGGTGAGTGGTGGATGTGAGCTTCCAGACCCACTCTCTTTCCACTGCACCGGGCCACCCCTCCACATACAGACACATGTGGGCAGTCACAGCCCCAAAGAAACACGTGGGCCCCCAACAGACGCACGAACACACCAATAGATACAGATGCACAAAGAGACTTAAGAGGAAAGAATGACCACCCACTGGCATACACACACACCCACACACACACACATGCTCATCATGCTAACACGATGCTCACTTAGGTCACGCAAACCCACATCTGAAGTTCACACATCCGCAGGCCCTAGCCTACCCCATCCTGGGTGCCCATTTCCCCGCCCTCTGGTGCTGTATGTCCATTTCCAGTCACCTCTGGGCTGTCCTGCCTCTTCTGTTCACCGCCCCAGGGTCCCTCTGGGGAAGAGGCCCGCGTCCTGTTCCTAGCGGTGTGCGGCAGGGGGAAGGTGCTGACTCACCCTCCCAGAGCTGTTCCTTCCCCCAGCTCTTCCCAGCCCTGGAAGCCACCCCACCCCCTAGCCCAGCCAAGTCAGGGTGACCTTTCACCCCAGGGCACCTGGGTGGAAGCAGAACCCTTGGTGACCCCTGCAGTGGGCTCGGCCCATGGGAAGGAGGCTGAGGGGGTGGAATCCCCAGAAGGTGAGAGTGTCCAGCACTGGCATGGACCCCGGGACCCTTAGTTTTCTCATAAAGAATGAGTAAGAGTCACCACCTCTCTGACCTGTTCTGGAACACAGAATCAATGTCAGGGTTGCAAGGGCTCCCAGCCCCCGGGGGCAAAGGTGGGGCAACTGAGGCCTTGTGTGTGTGGGGGGAAAGGTGCATGTCTGAAGCCCCGCTAGGCTCGTGAGCAGCACACCCAGCACGGACTTCCTCAGTGCTTTACAGTGCCTGGTGGGGACAGGAAGCCAGTGGGAGGGAGGCTCTGGGAACCAGAGCTCCCCGCCCCCTACACACCCTAGCAACTCCCCTGATGCTGAGACAGGACGCAAGCCTGCCAGGCGTCATCATTCATTAATATGATAGAACTTCCTGAGTTCCCTCTGGTCTGCCTGGGGACTGCAGAGCATGAGGGGGAGACCACGTGGTCAGGAGGCCTGAGATCCTCACACAGGCAGCCCCCAGAGCATGGCTGAGTGGTCGTTCTCGGAATACTTGGTGTGGCTGGAGCTGGGGCATCCATCCTGGTGGAAGCTGGCAATGCCAGCTGGGCATGACTGATAGGGAGACGGGAAAGGTGAGAGGATGAGGGAATTGTGGTCATGAGAGAGGAGCATGGGTATGGAGAGGGAAAGCCTAAAGCTGCCCAATGTCCATCCCTTGGGGTTGGGAGCATTCTTCCTGGCCTTGGATGTGATCCAACATCAGCACAGGCTCTCTCCTTGGTATAAAGAGGGCTCTGGGATGGGTCACTGGCCATGGTCAGCCATCAGGCCCAGGAAGCCGATATCACCCCAATAGACAGATGAGGAAACTGAGGTCCACTGGCTTCCCACCCTGGCCTGGGACCATCATACACCAAGGAGGTGGTCAAATTGGGACAGAAACTCCAGTCAAATGGAGTGAGACCCTGACTTCGTAATCTCTGCACTTAAACTGCCTTCCTGAAACCTAATGGGTGTCTGAGAGGGTCTCCAAGTTCTCATCTGAGACTTAGGGGCGGGGAGGCCACATGGGAAGCCATAGACTCAGAAGGAACAAGGGTCGGTAACCTCTGTGCTGGCAGCTGGGAAATACAGGTCAGCCACACTGGCCGGAGGGTAGTGGCCATGTGGCTAGGGGTATGTTTGTGGAGGGGTGGGAAAAATTAAAGAACAGTGATGTTGGAGCCCTGGACGGCTGTCTGTGGCCAAAATATTATTCTTTGAAGTCGAGGTCACAAGAGCTTGGCCTGGAGCCTGGGAGTGCTGGGGTGAGAGGCAAGAGGGCCGGATGGGGCTCCCCTTCAAAAAGCAAGTCCTGGGGATGCTGTTCCCTACCAGGGGATGCCAAATCCCTCTTTCCTCACCTCACTCCCTTCCCAGGGCTCTGCCAGGTGGGTAAGCGTGAGAGCTGGGAGCCCAAGGACTGGCATTTTTTCTTGGGCAAAGCCACCTCTTCCCCCAGGCTTGTGGAACAAGTGAATTGTGTCCAGGGAACAGAAATCTCAGTTGTGCCTGGAAAACACTACATCAGGGAGGAATTTCCTGGTCATTTCTCAATCCCTGGGCAATGTCCTAACCCTGGGGTCTGTGCCTAGAATAGATGCCAGAGGCCACCCCAGACAGCTTTACGGACTGGTCGGCTGTGTCCCTCAGGTCCTGTCTTGGTCCCCACTGGTGAGGGAGTATGATGACTCAGGTGATCTCCACCCTGGGCCACTGGGTGATTCTGGGAAGGGAGGAGGGCGGCAGAGATCTGAGTGTGGGGAGGTGGCAGGTGGTTCAGGACACAGGGAGGGGAGGCAGAGGCGAGAGATGGATGAACTGGGCAAGGGGGATGGAGGGAGAGCGCCAGGGAAGGCGGGAGGGCGCCAAGGGGCCTCTGGAGAAAGCAGGGGGGAGGGAAGGCGGGGCAGAGAGGAAATGAAAAACCCGGGGCTAGATGGGTGGGGAGGGAGGGAGAGGGAGGGAAGTAGGGAGAAGCTGACACACTGAGACGGACCCAGAGAGCAAGACTCCAGAGAAGGAGCAAGGGGACAGAGGAGGGAGAAAGAGAGACTGCAGAGGTGCGGTGAGGAGGGGTTGGGAAAGCCGAAATGCAGAGAAGAGGGTAGCGGGCTGTGAGTGGGGAGAGAGAGAGAGGAGGGAGGGAGAGGCAGGAGGGGCTGGACGAAGGGAGCGAACAGAGACAGAGAAGAAAAGAACTAGGGACGCAGAGAGGGACGGAACAGAGAGACAGATGTGACCAAGGAAAGAAGTAGGGGAGATCAAGACTGGAGAAGGCAGAGGGGAGAGAAATAGACAGAAATAGACGCACATACCAGAACTGCAGTTTGACTGAGACACCGCCTACCCCTACCCCAGCTGCAACGAGGACCCAAGAGGGCGGTGGTGGGAGTCACAGGGGCAGACCGGGCTCCTCCTCCCCCTACTCCAACCCCGGGGACCCTTCCAGTCCCGGCCGCAGAGGCTGGGGATGGCGGATTCGTGCCGGAACCTCACGTACGTGCAGGACTCGGCGGGCCCGGCCACCAGCACCCTGATGTTTGTGGCGGGCGTGGTGGGCAACGGGCTGGCGCTGGGCATTTTGGGGGCGCGACGGCGATCACGCCCCTCGGCTTTCGCGGTGCTGGTCACTGGGCTGGCGGTCACTGACCTGCTGGGCACGTGCTTCCTGAGCCCGGCGGTGTTCGTGGCCTACGCCCGCAACAGCTCACTGCTGGGCCTGGCCCTGGGCCGCCCGACGCTGTGCGACGCCTTCGCCTTCGCCATGACCTTCTTCGGCCTGGCCTCCACGCTCATCCTCTTCGCCATGGCCGTGGAGCGCTGCCTGGCCCTCAGCCACCCCTACCTCTACGCCCAGCTGGACGGGCCGCGCCGCGCCCGCCTGGCGCTGCCGGCCATCTACGCCTTCTGCACCGTCTTCTGCTCGCTGCCCCTGCTGGGCCTGGGCCAACACCAGCAGTACTGCCCGGGAAGCTGGTGCTTCATCCGCATGCGCTCGGCCGAGCTGGGTGGCTGTGCCTTCTCTCTGGCCTATGCCAGCCTCGTGGCCCTGCTAGTGGCCGCCATCATCCTCTGCAACGGCTCCGTCACCCTCAGCCTCTGCCGCATGTACCGCCAGCAGAGGCGCCACCAGGGTTCGCTGGTCCCAGGTCCCCGGACTGGCGAGGATGAAGTTGATCACCTGATTCTGCTGGCCCTCATGACCGGCATCATGACTGTGTGCTCCCTGCCTCTCACGGTGAGTCCCCTCTGCAGCTCGGGTGGGCAGTGGGGAGCAGGGTAGGTTCTGGCTCTGTCCTCCATCAGTTGTGCCCGTTTCACAGATGGGGAAACTGAGGCTTAAAGAGGTCAGAGGCTTTGTCCAGGGTCAGACAACTCCAGACTTTCCTGAGAAGTCTCTCCCCACTTGCTTCTGCCCCCGTTTGATTCTTCCTGACCCTTGTCTCCCCGCTTTCTCATCTTTAGTCCATCCCCTCCAATTCAATCCCCCACCAACCTCCCCTACCCCTGCAGCGATAATAAGGTCACCATTCACTGAGCACTTGCTCTCTGTCCACCCTCAATGGTTTAGAAATGATTTAGATATTCTTTCTCCCATAATTTCCAGAATGACCTTATACATCCATTCCACCAGCATTTAGCAAGAAATGGGGACAAATTTCCTGTCATTTTACAGGTGAAGGGTGAAGATGTCTCTTGCCCATGATTTCACAGAAGCAGGTCTGAACCCTGCGCTCCTCTGATTCGAGTCTGATCTCCCCACGACTGACCACAGTCCGCACTTCCCCATCCAGCCCCATCCATGTATCTTCCCTTGGAATCTCCTGGCCCCGCCCCTTTCCTGTAGGAACTCTTGACCTGCCTCTCCCAAATTGTGGCAGGGCCAGCCCTGGTACCCTGGTATCCAGTTATCCTGTCTTTGCTCTGGGCCTCGTTTTCTCTTCCTGGAAAATGCAAGCCCTGGGCTAGGTTTGAGGGTCAGCAAACCTTTTGGGGGTTATGGATGACTCAGAGACTGGACGCACGCAGGCACAGCCCTGGGACTCGGCCCCAACGCCCCATCTCTTTCCTTCTAGGGCTCTGCTGTCTGTTTCCTGGGGCTTTCTCTCCCTCTGCTCCCAGGATGCACTTGGTACTTGGTTTTCATCTTATTTCCTTCCCTTTCCGACAGGCCACCCCCACCCCATTTCTGCCAGTGTGCAAGTGAGGGGAGGGGAGCAAGAGTGGGGAGAGGCATGTGGGTGGGGGCAGACTCCTGGGTGCTTCTTGATGCCATCCTCTTGTCCTCAGATCCGTGGCTTCACCCAGGCCATTGCCCCAGACAGCAGTGAGACGTGGGACCTCCGCGCCTTCCGCTTCAATGCCTTCAACCCCATCCTCGACCCCTGGGTCTTCATCATTTTCCGCAAGGCTGTCTTCCAGCGGCTCAAGTTCTGGTTCTGTTGTCTGGCCCTGAGGCCTGCTCAAGATCCCTCACAGGCAGCCGTCTCCCAGCCTGCCTTGGGAAGGAAGGACTCAAGGGCCCCCACGACTCTCGGTGGGAAGGAGGGGAGCTGGGTGCCTTTGTCAGCTTGGGGTGAGGGGCAGGGGCCACCCTTGCCAGCTGCACAGCCATTCAGCAGCACCGTGGGAATGCCGTCCAAAGTGGGGTCCGAGGCTGCCTGCTCCCTCTGCTGACATCTGCCCCATGATCTTCTGCCCTGTCTTCCGGGAGCAGGAGCCAGAAATTCAGGGACATGACTGATGGCTGCAAGTGAATAAGCCAAGAGATGGATCCTGGAGTCCTGCCTGCCAGAACCCTGACCCCCTGGATTCAGGGGGTGATCAGCTGCTATTTCTCCTCCTTCAGGGTGGTCATGATGTGGGAGAGGGATAGGGAACAATAAAAAGAACAGTTCTCTCAAAATATCCAGTGGCCTGGCCAGCCTGGACTGGCCCTCGTTAGCCCATCCATCTCACTGTCTAAATATTTAGAAGGCAGAACAGTTCCCAGCAGCTTCTGTGTGCTCAGGTCTGCTCTGGTTAGAGTTCTGGCTCTGATCCTCATTCATTCAAGGTGCCCTGGTCACCCACTCCCACTCCCCTGGGGGAGTGGCTGCCCTCCCCCAGCCCACTCCCAGAGCCACCCTTTCTCCGCCTCCTGGGTACCAGGGATTCCCTGACAAGCTCCCTCCTCCTCTTTCTTCTGATTCCCCATCGGACTGGGGAGCCCTGTTCCCCCAAGGGGAGCTGGGAGGAAAGGGAAACTGTTGCATTGTGGGTGACAACACTGGACAGCTGCCTGGGAAAGGAAACTACATGGCTTGGTGGGTTGCAAGATGTGGCTGGTGGGGCCATGGGTGGCCGGGGAGCTGGAGAAGCTGGAGGATGATTGAGTGGGAGGTATGGAACCCAGGGATGGCCCAAGAACTCAGACCTAAGTCCTGTGTCTGTCCCTGAATAAATAGCTGCCTCCTCATAGAGCCTGACCTCACCTCCTGTGTTCTTGGAGCCCTCACAAAAATCTCATTCATTCATTCAACAAATAGTGGGTGCTGACTCTACCAGGCGTAGGGGACTCAGACCAGTCTCAGCCCTACCCTGGATTCCTCGGGGGATTTCTAGCCTTCAGTCTCCCCTTCTGACTGCTGGGGTGATTTCCAGCCACCCACACCTCCCACTTCTCCTTGCCATCCCCTGCCCTCAGGCACAGAGTCAAGGGTTTTCGGGAGTGAGCGAGGTAAAGGAAGACTTGCTTCTTCAGGTGGTTGGTGAGTGGTAGAGAAAGGGAAAGCCCCCAGACTCCTCCCAGCCCCAATTCCCCTTTCTCACTTGCTTCAGGGTTAAAACAAGAAATCTGCCCCTGGGGACAGGCAGAGAAGTAGGTGAGGCTCTAGCTCCCTGTAAAGACAATAGCAGAGGCTAAAGTGAGTCCTTCTCCACTGCAAGGCTGGAATCAAAGTCCAGAGAGGGCCTTGGTCACACATCGCCAGGTCACACAGCGAGGAGAAAGCGCAGCCTGCCGGGTGGAGCTGGTCTATCTTTGTGTTTCCTTGACCCAGATCACTGTGGGGCAGGTGAATTTTCCTTCCTGTGACTTGGTCTCCTGTTGCTTAGAATGGTGATCAGAATTTCATGCTTAGTTTACGAGGTTGCGCCAAGGATGAAACGATTCCCCTGGAAAGCAGTGTGGCGCAGGGCCCAGGGTAAAGCCCACGAAACGTGTTACTGTTATTGCCCTTGTTGTTGTTGTGACTGTGTCTTTGGCATCTGGGCAAAAGTGATTTGAAAACAAAACAACACCTTTCTCCATTGTTTCGACATTTTGTTTCCCTTCCAGTCACTATGTTTCATTTGAAGGGGTGTCTGCAAGAACTGAAAATAGGTCAAGATGACTGCTTCATGGGCATGGGGTTTCCTTTTGGGGTGATGAAAATGTTCTGGAACTAGATAGTGGTGGTTCACAGCATTGTGCATGGACTAAGTGTCACTGACTTGTACCCTTTAAAATGGTTGAAATGGTAAATTTTATGTTATGGGTATTTTACCACAATAAAAAGGAAAAAAAACTCACGTCATTCTGGAAAACAATTGAGGAAGTTGGGAAATTTTTATAGCAGACTTGTCAGAATAATACTATATTGTTTGAATTTAAGAAGGAGAATGTTGACTTGTATATTAAAACAAGACTGAAAAAAAAAAAGAGAGAGATCAAGAAATATCACGTGGGGTCCGGCCTTTGTTACCAAACCCAGCCCAGCCTCAGTGGGAACCGGCCTGAGGTACTCCTGGAGGATGGTGCACAGAGCAGGTGGAGGGGCTGCATTTTGGGCAGGAGTCCAGAGAGCTGGGGGCGGGACTGCCTGTCCAGGCAGGACCCGGGGGCGCTGCCCCAGAAGGTGGATAGGTTCTAGCCTGTTAGCGCTCGCTGGCTGGGCTTTGGAACCCACAGCATCCTCATTTGAGGTGGAGGTCATTATCAGTCCTATCAAGGATTAAGCTGGTTTTCTGCTGGCTTTTCCCCACTGGGCCTCACATCTCAGGGGCCTGCCCCCTCCTCTGCATCCCACTGTTTTTCTCAGATTCCCGCCAGCTCTGGGCTGGATGTCTACACCGCCTGCTACGGCGGGGGTTTTCACACAACTCTCGCCCCCTCTGCCCACACCCCCTGCAGGCTGATTGGAGAGCTCCTCTCTCTCCCAGCTGGTTCTGGATCCCTGACTGCCCACGTAGCCTCTCCTCTGTCTGCCATGGTTCTGTCTGGAGGTCCTGTCGCCGAGCTCCAAGGGCTCCTACTGCCTGGAGGCCAAGGGCCAATTCCCATGCTCCCTGCTCAGCTGAGGTTTCCCCAAACAGTTGATGACCTTTCGGGCCTCCACTTCTTTGCTCACCGAGCTCACCCTTCCTGTAAGAGTATTTCCTCTTCTCCATCTGTCAAAACACCCTTGCCCTTCAAGGGCCTGCTTAGGCTCTTCCTCCTCCTTGAAGACTTAATCACTCCTTTCTTTGGTGCCCTCAGTGGGGCTCCATGATGGCCATCCCTGCAGTCTGCTGTAGCTCAGATTTTTTTGTTCATTCTTATTGAGGGCTTATTGTATGTCAGGTTTTGTCCCCCTGATGGTGGGGACAGGGCAGTGGCCTTACTTTCCTGGGGCTTACAGTTCAGAGTATGCAGGGCTGGGGGTTGGTGGAGTCTAGGGGGACATCAGGGAGGGCTTCTTGGAGGAGGAGATGCCTGAGCCAGGACCTAAGGATTGGAAGAAAGTGAGCCAAGTAAAGAAGAGGGTTTCTGTTGTGCTTACAGCTTCGACTCTGGCCTCTGATGACTTTTTTTCCTTTGCCTCTTGTTCATTCCTTAATTCAACAGGCATTCCCTTGAGCCTGCTCTGGGCCCAAGGCTGCTCAGTGCTTGCTGGGAAGATAGCAGTAACAGACAGCGCCTTCGCCCTACCTCGCTCACAATCCAGTGGGGTGACAATTTAATAATCACAGAAGATATATTATAATAAGGAGCAAAAATACAAATTTACAAGCTGTGAAATATACCAAGAACACAGTGTAAGGGAGGCGCCTGCCCTAGTCTGGGGTTGGGGTCAAGAAGCGACACATTGGAAACAGGCCTGTCTCCCTCGAGACTTTATGCACTTTCGACTTCATTTCTTCACTCATTTCTGACTTTGGAGCACCAGGCTTGGCCCATAGATGAAGCGCACACACCTGTACACACCCTGGCGGGTCTCCAGGAGTCTCAGATCTTCTTGGGCCGTCTGTAGTTACTGCCCCACCTGCTGGCCACACTGGGAATAACAGTTAGATGTGGTCCCAGAGCCACTGCCTTCGACAGCATCCCACTCCCTTGGAGGAAGTGAGAGGTACCTGGATTTCCCTCCCGTGGGCCCTGGTTGGGCAATTCCTGACGTGTTCCCTGGTCTAGTCACTTTCTTAGAACAGGCTCGGAGCTGACCCCGCAGATCTGTGAGCCTGAATTGGAAATGACTTCCTCTCTGTCAGCCCCCTCCCAGTGCCTGCCCCGTGTCCCTTAGAAGCTCAGAGTGCCTTCTATTGTGTCTTTGATTTTAAAGAATGTGAAAGAGAAGTCATGATTTTTTAAATAATGCAGCCTGTCTGGGAGTAGTCGTCTTTCAAAAGATGGGGCCCAAGGAGGGAAATAAATGAGGAGCAGTAGCCAAGTGCAGGAAATTCAATGCGGTGGTTAAAAGAGTGGGCATTTGGGATGCAAATAATCTGGGGTTCCCAGTCCCAGCCCAGCCACTTCCAAGAAGTGTAGTGTGAGAAGCTTTACCTGCCCAGGCCTCCATTCCTTTCTTGTCAGCTCTTGACGATTTATCTTGTGCTCACCTGCCCACCAGGGCGCACACACGTCAAAAATGGGGGTTGAATTTTATTAGGACTTCACACTGCCCTGGGTGAGAATTAAATTGGATGATGTCTAGAAAGTGCCTGGTGCAACCCTCTGAGGGGGATATTTTTACGATTCTCCTTTTAGAGATGATTATTCTCCATTTTGTAGACTGGTAAACTGAGGCGCAAAGAAGTGCAGTCACTGCTTCAATATTACCAGGTGGGAAGTGACAGAGGTGGGACCCGAGGCTCAGTGAATGTACAGACAGGGCAGAGAGTGGTCACACTGGGTTTGGAGCCCGATTCTGAGTCACCAAAATCTGTCTTCTTCTCAACTAGAAGACCAGAACTTTCCACAGGTATCCTGGCTGCTTCCTGGCTGCTAAGAGGGCCACTTCCATCTCGGACCTCACCACTGTGACCCCAGCCTCAGCCAGGCCTTCCCACTGCTCTCTCTGGCCTACCTGAAGTCATCTTTTTTGAAGGGGAAAATTAAAAAAAAAAAAGACCATTTCCTCTAAAGGCAGGCAGCTGAGAGCATGGACTCCTTGGGCCAGATCTGGTTAAAATTCAAGCTGTGCCACTTTCTGCTTCATCACCTTGGAAGTGTCTTCCCTTCTCTAGGCCTCAGTTACCTAGTCTGCAAAATGGGGACTGATAACATCCAGCCCAAACGGTTGCTTGAATGAGTCAATGAGATCATGGGTTCAGAGCTTAGAGAACAGCCTGTGGAGTAGGAATCACCCAACAAAGAACGGCTCCTGCTCACTGGGCACCCACTGGGCACCCACTGGGCACTGGGCTCACCCTGGAAGTCAGTGTTGTCACAGCTCCATTTTATAGACAAGGGCAGAGAGCCATGTACCTAAGGCCATGCATACAGTTAAGTGCTGGAGGCAATGGTCGGCCGCAGACCCCAAGCTCTTACCTGTGACACCCTTCCATCTCTACTGTACCAATGCTAAGCTACAACCAGATGGCAGAAGAGGGCACCAAAGCTGGGGCTTTGGAAAATGGCTTGCTGGTCTCAACTTCCCCTCCCCCAGTGCTGGGGTCTGGTGACCGGCCCACACCAGGAAGATCCAGCCGAGGCCCATCTCCTCTCTGCCAGGGTAAGGCCCCTGGGGTTGGGTCCTGCCAGGTTCTCCATCTTTCCAAGGCCAGGTGAAGGTAAGCAGCCTTTTTTTTTTAATTGAAGTACAGTCAGTTACAATGTCAGTTTCTGGTGTACAGCATAATGTTCCAGTCATGCATATACATAAATATATTCGTCTTCATATTCCTTTTTCATTAAAGGTTATTACAGGATACTGAATATAGCATTTTTATTCCACTGGACTGTCTCTGCTTGCCTCCCACCCAGCCCCTGAGGACAGTGTGAGCAGTTCAGATGCTAGATCATGTCTATTAACCATTCACTCCCCATGCCCTTGACAGGGAAGGACATAGGTTGTGCAGTTGGGGGCAGGGCATGTGTATTTTGTGAAAAGCTGTCCCCTCCTTTCTTCTTCACACCGCAACTTACCTCGGGGAGGTTGAGCTTTCTATGGTTTGTGGTTGTTTGGGGCTTTTTCTTTCAAACCTTAGTCCTTTGCCCTCTCTGGGAACTGATTACAGCTGTGAGCCCAGGAACACGCCTCTTTTCTCCCCAATGTGTTCAAACTCAGCAAGTAGGCTGCCTGATTGACACCGATCACTCCTTTGCCAGAGCGGCCTACGGAGACTCCCCGCCTGGCCTAGGCCCAGGTCTGCCCTACCTTCTCGATGGTCCCTTGGACAACGCCCTTCCTCCCCCCCCAACCCCCCCGCACACCTAGGGGGCTGCTCACCTCTCAGGCCCTGCTTGCTGCTGCCTGCCCCAGAACTGGCATGCCCCCAGAACTAGAATCCCTCGTTGACAAGATCGACCTGCCTCAGGCCTTCTCAGTTCTCATCTTCAGTCATTCCTGTGACTGGCGCCCCCCACCCACTCGCCCAGGCAGGGCTGGTCTCTAGCTGGCCCATGGCGAACTCTCATTGCTGACAGGCCCCACTGCCAGGACAGAATCCTGCCCTCAGCGTGCAAGCTGGCCAGGATGCGAACTCTGTCCGGCTCGGAGGTCCCCGCTTGGCCGCAGTGATGAGAACAAGTCTTTTGAGTGAGCATGGAGGATGGGCTCTTCCAAGGCAGGGCTTTGGGCCTGCGCATGGAGCAGGCCCAGAAACCAAGACAAAAGAGGAGCCGAGCCAGGTAGTCACTGTATTTTATTGGAAAACATTGATATATATTTTTCTTCACAGCTTGAACTGAACACAATATTGCCCGGTTTAAAAACAAAAAACAAAAAACCAAACCAAAACCAAAACACTCCGAAAACATCCACAGCCTCCCGCCTACCTGCCCTTACCCTCAGCTCTTGGCTGGGTCTCCCACTATGTCCCATCCCTCCCCTTCCCTCCCCCGGAGGCTGGGCACCAGAGGGTGGATGAGAAGAAATTCCCAAAGCTGAGCAGGTCCCAGGAAAAGCCACTTGATCAACCAGGGGGGTGGGGGTGGGGGGGTGGGTGGGACAGATGAACAGAAAAAGGCGAAACAAAGAAAAATCCAGACGACCAAACTGCCCACATTGACTTACTTGTCCCAGAGGCGAAAGTCAGAAGCAAGGTCACGGATCATGCTCTCCGCTGGGGGGCGTGGGGGCAGGCAGGTGGGCGAGGGGGGAGGCAGGCACAGAGACAGCACAGATGTGAGGGAGCCAGCCAAGTCACCATGGGAAGCGGGAGGGGCCGGCCGGCCAGGGAGCAGAGCTGCCGGTCCTCAGGGGCCGCTGGCTGACAGGACTGTTTTATTGCAGGTGTGTTCTCTGGAGAGCGTGGTGGGGCGCATCTTCCCTCTCCCCGCACCTCAGCTAGCCCGGCATGGTTTCGGACAAAATTAAAGTTTTAAGGGGCATAAAGGAAAAAAAAAAAAGGAAAGGATAACCAGCACATTACAAAGCAGCCATCCCCACGTCCATTCTGAGGAGGGGACCTCAATGCAGGTGGGCGGGGCATCACAAGGAAGCGGCATGGGATGTTAGCACCAGGTATTTACAGGGCAGCTGGAGATCGCTTCAAGAACACGGGATGTCCCATGTGCAGAGGGGCCAAGTGAGCAGCCCCCACCTGGCGCCCAATCTCAGGAAGCCAGTCAGATGGTTTCAGAAGAGCAGCCAATGGGATCTGAGTGTTGTCTACTCTGCCCAGCCCTTTCTATGAGTCAGCCTCCTCAAGTGGTAAAAGAACACCAGCTTTCAAGACTCCCTTGCCCCTTGACCTCCTTCTGGGCCACATCCAGTCAACGCCACAACTCTGGTACCTCCCCCCACCCTCAGTCCTTCTGGAATGCCTCTGTCAGCATCCCTGCCCCAGGCTGCTGGGATCTGCACATGGAATTGCAGGGCCGGTTGCATGCAACAGCAAAAGGCGTGCTCTTCTGCCCAGCCAAGAGCCTCGGCCCGTCCCTAGCAGGTCCTGGGACAGGGCTGGCGGCCACCCTGGCACCCAAAATAAGATGACAAAGGAAAGAAAACAAACCAAAACAGACGAGAGCCACCCGGGCTGGAAGAGGAGAGGAGAGGCCCCCCTAAGGGGGAGGGGGCTCATCTTATGAATGCATCAGGCCTTGGAAGATGTGGATGGAACAGGGGGAGGGCAAAAGGAAGAAAGGGAGGGGCATGGAAGGAGACTCAGGAGGAAGAGAAAGAGCAATCATGCAGCTTGGGACAAATCTTTTGTTGCTTTATCAGATTCTCAGTCAATCAATTGGTGTTTGCTAGAACCGGGATACGCAGGGGAGTGTTGAAGAGAGAGCGCGCGCGAGAAGAGAGAGATTGAGAGGACGGGCATCACCAGCTGCCCGGGGGCCTTCACTTCGCAGTCATCATCTGTACAAACTCTGCGGAGCGAAACAGAGAGCGGAAGTAAGCAAGAAAGCAGGGCTAAGCCCCAAGCTGCCCTTCCTGACCCAGGGGAGCTGGGGGTGTGTTCCCGAAGCCATGACTCTCCAGAGACTGGGCGGGCGTCGGCTCACCTTCATAATTGACCTGGCCGTCTCCATCGATGTCGGCCTCTCTGATCATCTCATCCACTTCCTCATCGGTCAGCTTCTCCCCTAGGTTCGTCATGACGTGGCGCAGCTCCGCGGCGCTGATGTAGCCGTTGCCATCCTGAGTGTTGGGGGAGAGATGAGGACTTTGAGCTCGAGGTGGCCTGGCTCTCCCTGGAGGCCGCGGGAGAGAGGTGGCAGGACAGGGGCTGTCAGTCACCCCCACTCTGGAGGTGGCAGAGCAAGTTGGAGGTGGTAGAGCAAGTCGACCGTCAGGCTGGTGCTGGGACCCAGGCCTCCCAGAAGTGGTGACTCAGTAACTCTAGTTGGGCTGGGTGTCCTGAGCCCCGCCTGCTCTGTCTCTCTGCTGGAGGCCCAGAGCCACTCTGGGGAAAGACTATTTACCTTGTCAAAGACACGGAATGCCTCCCGGATCTCCTCCTCACTGTCTGTATCCTTCATCTTTCTGGCCATCATGGTCAGGAACTCCGGGAAGTCAATGGTCCCGTTCCCTGCAAAGTGGGAAGGGAGTTGGGAATGCTCTGGGCCTGGGCCCTGGGAGATGACCCTAGAGCCCTGGCAGAGGAGATGCTGGAGCACCCATCACTGGAGGAAGGCTGCCCATGGTCACAAGGGTGACCAGGAGTGGGGCTGCCCACCAGCTTCATGGGGCTCACCATCCGCGTCCACCTCATTGATCATGTCCTGCAGCTCGGCTTCAGTGGGGTTCTGTCCCAGGGATCTCATCACTGTCCCCAACTCCTTGGTGGTGATAGTGCCATCTCCATCCTTGTCGAAGAGGGAGAAGGCCTCCTTGAATTCTGGGGAAAAAAGAGCATGAGTCAGAGGCTGAGGACACGGGGAAGTCCCAACCTCAGGAGACAGGACCCGTCTCTGGAGGAAGGCTGAGAGAGCCAGGCTGCCTCAAGGAACCAGAGCGAGACTTCAATTCCAGCCCAAGCCTCTCACCTCCCGACCCAGGGCAGACCCCTCCCTTCTTTCTGTCAACAGTTCTGGGCACCAACTCTGTGCCAGGTAAAGGCACCTGTTCTGCGAGCTTAGCTCAGTGCAGACAGAAAGGAAAATGGGCTGACAGTGGCCTTGGATCGTTCTACACTGCTTTTTGGTCCCTGGCTTCAGCCTCTCCCTCAAATGATGAAATGGACCAATGTCATGGTGCAGATGAGAGTCAAGGGAAGTCTATGTCTAAAGTATACCAGCCAAGGTCAACTGGCTAGGAAAGGAAGTGCAGGGAAGGGGAGCCTCTGATCGGCGCCATATCCCTCCTGACTCGTACTGCCAGCCCAGTTCCTTGCTTTCCAGAGGAACCAGAGCTGTCCGTGGTGGAGTGTGGGGGTAGTCGGCAGCAGAGCACGGCTGATGGACGATGCGTGGGGTAGGTAGGGGAATGGAAGGTGGGGGGATGGCTGCCAAGTCGGGAGGATGAGGAGCTAGTGGCGCTGAGTGGGAAGGCCACAGCTGGGGACGCATCAAGAGCGGGGAGAGAAGCATGCAGCTCCTGCCCTCCCACTGGGCCCATTCTGGCACCTGGTGCTCCCTACCCCCAAACCCTCAGAGAACAGATGCCTGGAAGCCTGTTCCCAGAGGGCGTGGGCTGGGGTGAGGCGGTGGACAGTGTGCTAATGGAGCGGGGGGATGTGGAGCATGTGTTCGTGTTACCCGAGGGCAGTTGGGGTTGTGGGCGGCAGGTACGGTGGGAACCACACATACAGTTCAGCAGCCGCTGGGCCCTGGAGAACTGTAAAAGTCTCCTTGGGGATGCTGGCGCCTCCCTGAGCTGACGCTTTGTTGCTCTTTGGTTCCAGGGGAGGGAGTGGGTCATGTGGGTGCCCTGGGCTCACCATCACTAAATAACAAGGCGGTTCTCTGGCCTTCCTTGGTAGGTCTCCATAGCCACCTGGGGCCAAAGTTTTTAGAAGCTGGAAGTGTCTCTGTGTTGCAGGGGAGGGGATGAAAGAAGAGAAGGCAGGCCCATTCCTGCATCTTCCCACTTCAGAAGCTGGGCATTAGGTACTTGTCACGTGTAGCCCGCTGAACTTGACGGCAAAGCTGGGGTCTGGGTGGCTGCTGGGGTCCAGGGGCTACTCTGTGCTGGCCCATGGCTCTGGATGTGAACTGAGGGCTGGTCTCTGTCCTCACAGCTCACAGCCTGGGGAGACGGGGACAAGGGCAACTCTTCCACACACAGCAGATCCTGCAGCTGTGACTTTCTGGGCTTTGGAAGGCAGGGGGCTACAAAAAATGAATTAGATGGATCCAAGGATTTCTTTCAGCCTCCCGGGAGATATGTAATGGTTTGTCTGTTCACTTTAGTTATTTAGCCAACAAAAATTTAGAGGACCTACTATGTTTTAGGCACTGAAGATACAGCAGGGACCCACCAAAACAAAGACCTCAAATAAGGACTCATCTAGTGACAGCAGACACAGCAGGCAGAGTTACCATAAAATAATTCCAGACAGTGAGAAAGGCTACCAAGGAAATAGAGGGATGTGATGGAGAGTCAAGGCAGGCTGTCTATGTGATGGGGAGTCAGGAAGGCCTCTCCAAGGTGACATTGGAGCCGAGACCCAAAGGATGAGAAGGAGCTGCCCGTGCAGAGCTGGGGGAAGGCGTTTCTGGCGCAGGAAAAAGCCAGCACGTGCAGAGGTGGGAGTGACAAGCCATCTCCTGGGCGGCTCCTAAAGTGGGCCAGGAGCTCTGCAGCCCCACAGGGAGGCAGGGAGCTCACCTTCTAAGCCTAACCGGCAGGAGCTAGGACAGACAGCCAGGCTCACCCTGCCACTGACTAAAAAGACCCACGGCCAGGAGAGGAACACAGCCGCCACCGCTGGCTCAGGACCGTGGGGCTCAGTGTTATGAGGGCACTGCTGTGCTCTTACACACACAAGTTCATCTTTCGGATGCTCTTCCTGGCCAGAGTAAGGTTTGGCTGGGGACACAGAGGCCTTCCCATGGCAGGGTCCGGGGAGGGAGGGAGGCGAGCTCACCTGCGATCTGCTCCTCAGTCAGCTGGTCAGCCTGGAAAAGCAGGAAGGAGAAGGTTAGTAACGGCTGGCCAGCCCGGCCATCACAAATGCATCTTCCTCACTCAGCCCGGCCCCTCTGGTGAGGCCGGTTCCACATGGCATTCGTGTACCTGGGCAAGGCAGATCATGCTAGGGTCAGGGCTCGGAATAAAGTCTGGCGATTCGAGCAGCTGGGGACTAAGGTGGGCTGGAAACCCAGGCCTGCCTGACACGGGGCCGATGAAGCCGCCCAGACCCCTATGTTTCCAATCCTGCCCAGGGCTCTGGAGCCACAGTGGGTGGGAAGAAGTGCCGCCCCAGCCCCAAACCAGCTGCAGCAGCACAGCATCTCCCCGTCAGGCTGCTGGGAGTCCCAGGGGCTGAGTGAAGGGAGCAGTTGCCCTAGAGGCCTAATCAAGCAGCTCTAGAAGGCTCTAAACTGAAACAGGCCAGTGTCGGGTAGGGCAGAAAGAAGATGTCTGGGGCTCTTCACTAGTTTCTATGTCACTAATTTGGAGGCACCAAAAATTCTCCCAGCTGGTGGCTCTGAGGCGCTCCAAGTGCCTGAAAGAAGCCCAGTCGGGCCGGGGCCAGCCCCCCACTCCCTGCAGCACTGGGTAGGCTTGGGGCACCATTCTGCTGTTTCTTTTGGGCCAGCAGGCCAAGTGTCGGGGAGGGACTGCGGCAGGCAGCCGAGGCAGAGGCTGTGGACTGAAGTCAGCCTTCCCTGCTGCGCTGCAGTTTTTAACCCTTGCAGCCCTGGCTGCTCTGGGGGCTGGCCAGTCAGTGGTAGGCGGCCCTGGCTGCCTGTGGGGTTCGCTTCGGGGTGGGGCAGAGGAGGAGCAAAGGCAAGCTAGCATGTCCGCACTGGTGTCCTGGGAATCAGCCAGGTCCAGGGATCCTCTGGAGGAGGAGGCCGGGGGGGGGGGGTAGCTGAATCCCAGGGTTTAGCTTGAGGCAGTAAATGAGAAATTTTCCTTGGTTTTTGTAAATGATGCCAAGAAGGCACCACTCTCCCCAGACCACTGCCCCCTTCCTTTATTTCCTTTCACTATTAGGGGGAAGGGGCTCGCTGTCTACAGCAGGGTTTGAGCTTTGAGTCTGAGAGCCCCCAAGCCGATGCATACCACTGTGTGTGTTTGCATTAATCTACACAGATGTTTCAGAGATTCTGTGGAAAACTAGCAACAACCACCTCCCCAACCCCATCCCAAATATTAAGAACTGGTCACATAAGAACTGGTCTAAAATGTCTTTCTTCTTCTTTTTAAAAAACATCTAAGGAAAGAGAAACTTGAGGCCAAGCCCCTAATAGGCAGAATGGGAGGGGAGGGGAAATCAAAGTGATGATGACAGAGGGGAGATGGCAAAGGGAGGGGGAACCAGGAAGGTAGGGAAGGAAAAATACCGCACGTGCACATTCTGGAAAAGTCCAAAGTCTAAAGAGAAGGTTAGGAGACGCTTTGGCATTGCTTCCCCAAAAGACCCAAGCTGACAGGCTCCTGAATGCCCACCTGGCAGCCCCTGGCCCACAAGCCCCACGCTCCACCCACTTTCCTTGGCTTCCATGGGCAAAGAAGCCTGAGCTGATCCCCTAGGTGCTGACACCCGAGGAAGCTGCTCAGGGGAAAGTGAGAAGAGAGGATGGGCTTCCGGTTACCAAGGCCAGGCAATGCCAGGGGAGGGGAAGAGGCATAAAGAGGGGAGAGCAGCAGCCTGGAGAGGAGGGCTGCCATCCCCTCGGCTTTCATTCTCCTCCCCTGGCCTAGATGGAACAAGCTAGTCCAAGCAGGGAACTTCGCACCCTTTCCACACCACGCTGCAAGAAGCCCACTTCTCCCTGCCTTCAGGCAGCACTGTCAGGGGCTGGGGCTAAGGCGGTTAGGACAGGTTGCAGAATGCCCGAGAGTGGCTCTGAAGGCTGATGTCTGCCGCTCCCCACCGACTTCCCACTGATGAGCTGCAGGGCGCAGAGGAGGCACTGCCACTCTGTTACCGGGTTGCTGCAAATAGGCGTGGCTCTGCCTGGAAGGCCTGTCACACACCTCTCCCTTGGGGGTAGGAGACCCTTTCCCCAGCTTGGGGAAGGGAAGGTCCCAGCTCCCAGCTAGAGATCTCAAAGCCCAGCTGCTGCCCAGAAAACTGATCACCTGCAAAGCGATCACTGCTGGGGACCCCTTCTCAGGGCTTCTTCCCTTCTCAGAGCTGAAGATTTTCAGCTTTCACCAACAACTGCCCCCAAAATAACCCAGCTGGTCTCCTGCTTCCTTATCCCTCGTCTTAGGCTCTAGCAAGGACTGGACAAGAGAAAGAAAAAAATCTTGGGATGGGGGAGGGAAGAGAGTATTATTTCTCTGCCTTGCCCCAGCCCCCAGCCAAGGCCAGACAGCACTGTTAGATGAGATCAGAAACCAAGGCCAGGGCCCCTCACCCGGGCCAAGGAGGAGCCACAGTGCTCAGGCCAAAGTCCAAGGCCAGTTAACAGTGACTTGTCCCACCCATACCTTGCTGATTACAGATGGAAAGAGAAACTAGTTGGAGCCAAAGCTCGGGTCCTATCTGGGAGGCAGGGGACTTCTTGGCACCTGCCAGTGATTCTGGGCCCCTTTAGCAAGGTTCTGCTGGGGGGAAACGGGGTAGCGGCGAGAGGAGCCATCAGGTCTGTGTCAGCAAGTATGAGATCTGATACACAGCAGCGGCTGCCTGTTCTCCCCAGCCTTGCCAGGGAGGATGGCTGCGCACGGTTCTGAGGCTGAGCCTGGGGGGGGAGGGCTGTGGGTGTTGTGGGTGGCAGGGACTAGGAAAGAACTAGTCTGCTGGTCTTTTCTCAAAGCTCGAGCTTTGTGGATTAACAGAAGCACTCATGGACAGACCTGAACAGAACAAGTCGCCCTCAGGTCGATGAAGGGGTCCCTCTGGAGGTCCTCTCTGGTCCAGCTCTGCAGCCCCTACCCTGAGGCCATAGGAATAAGCGCCTGATTGTCACCGACGCCACACTGTACTGCACTGTCATTTGGCACAAGCGAGGAGATGCAGAACAGTGTATGGAGCTGGAGACCATGAGAAAACCAGCACTCCTGTTTGGAAAAAGCAGCTCTCGGTCTCAAAGGGGGCAGCGAGGTGAGGTTCAAGGCTTAAAAAGCTGGCTCATTTGATGCATCCCAAACTTTGATTCCCCCACCCCCATTTCATGCAGCTTCAGTGCGCAATAGGGGCCGGAGCAACTCCGCCCACCTGCCCCCACTGCCTGGTGCCTTCTGCCCAGCCCTGTTCTTCCTGGGAAGGGGACTCTAGAGCCCCTCCCTCTGGCCTCTGCAGCCCACTCCCCATCCAGACTGAACAGTCATCGTCCCATCTTTGCCCTGGAAACTTCCAGGGAGCTACCCACATCCACCTCCAAACCTAGGCCCACTCTGGCTCCCATTCATTTTTCTCCAACACATCCCCAGATCTCCTTTTACCTCCCCTCTCACCACCCAAGCCAGTCCTCTCCCATCCCTCACCTTGGAAACCCACCTCCTCATGGACCCAAACACAACACTCCTCCCCCTTCCCCCTAAAACCCTAACCTCCCTTCCTAGTTCAATAGCCTTATCCCACTAGTAACCTCAACATTCTCTGGCTGTCCCCACCCCCCAATCAACCACGAGGTCCCCTGTTCTCCCACCACTGGCAAGCACGCCATCCCCTTTTAACCATTTCCCCGACCCCAATCGTCTTCAGTCCCCGTAGGCTTCAAGAGCATCTTCTAACCTCTGCTGCCACCCACTCCAGGCTCTTCCTCGCACCTCACCCTCCTCCTCCTTCCTCTGTAATGTCGGTCTTTGGAGAAGCCCCTTTCTCCCCTCAAGGGTCTGATCTGCAGAAGTGATTCCCCCTTCCCCTCCAGGGGCACCCCTCCCCACCCAGGCCCAGCTACCCACGGCCCCCTCCCAGGAAGCTCCCCAGCAGCCAGGCTTCCCTCTGATCCCCCTTCCCTGCATCCTCTCACGACCCAAAGCCTTTATCAGAGCACAAATTACCCTCTTCCCTAGCCAGTGTTTCTTACCTCGCTCTCCTGGAACCCAAACACCCTACCTTAGAGACCAAACGCCCCATCCTGGGGTCCATAAGCCCTTCCCCTTTGAGGGTCCAGATGCCCCATCCTGTGTTCAAATGCCCCCTTTGAGGGCTCAGGTGCCCATTCTGGGGTCTAGACACCTCATCTGGTGCTAAAGTCGCTTTTAGAAGCCCCTCACCCCCCGTTTGGGAGCCAAACGTTCCGCTCTGTATTCGAATGCTCCCGAGAAGGGGGCAGAGAGGGATTCAGGGGAGCTCGCCGGGGCCCAAATGCCCCCCCATTCTCGGTCTACTTGCGTTCTCGGGGGTCCTGCCCCGCCGCACCCGCCTCAGCGCCCCCAGCTTCGGCAGCCCTCAGCCTCACTC